TTTTCTATATATAATCTTAAAATATCAATACTTACTACGAACCATGTGTTGTGGTTTATGAACCACATTTTCTACCGAACGCAATTAAGTGATCTTAAAAATTGATAAGGCTTAATTCTGTGTTTCAAAATGCAAGAAATGCAGCAGAACAAGTATGAAAGTAAAGAAATATGGGGTGAACTTGTGAGTTTAAGGAATAACCAATGGCATATTATTTCTTCATAAAACCTGTTTAAAACGTACAGTCAAAGAGTTTGGAAGTTCGCGCAAAGCTGCACGAGGGTTATCGGCGCTAGCCGTCCCGTATTTAGCAGCGAAAGACTAGAGGGAAGGCAACTAGTCATCACCACCCACCTCCAACTCTTGGGCTACTATTTTACCAACGCATAGTGGGATTGACCGTTACATTATAACGCCCACACAGATGAAAGGGCTAGCATGTTTGATAGGACGGGAATTTGAACCCGCGACCCGCAGATTGCGAATCGAGTGCCCTAACCACCTGGCCATGCCAGGCCCGATCAAAGAGATCTTGCAGCTTGTACATATTTTACACCCACTTACATGTTTTTATTTTATATATACTCGGAAGAAGAATATTGATAGAATGGCCGTAATTCTATAGTCCCTGAACAACTGTTTAAGTCACACATTGCCCTGTTTCTTGTTGTATACACTCGCAAATTGATTTTAAACATAGTTATGCAGAGATTTGCGAATTATACTAGACATTAGGATCATTATCACAGACTATCACAAGACAATGCTTGTGATTTCTGGATTTTTAGTTGGTAAACCTGTCCCATTATATATTCCACTATAACCGACAAGAATATTTCTAAAATGTAGTAAGTTATCTTTATATATATTGGTTTCAAATGTGATGCAAACAAACTGAAAACCTGTTACCATTTCAAGTGTTAACATATATATGGCCGACTACAATAGAAACACTAAAATGTAACTCAGTTGCAAAATTCACGTTACTCATTAATTCTTGTTCAAGCTGATCCAGTAGTTTGATCGTTAACTTACAGAATACTCCAACAAACCACTTAACGCTAATAACAATAACGATGTTTAACACCTTTGATGTTTAAAGTTCCACTTTGTGTGCACTTATTTTAGAAGTGCTCGCCAGATGGCCAAACCAGACATTATATTTTCTCTGAAAGAAAAAATAGACTGGTGCGTGTATCGCGGTGTGAAGTAGAAGTAGAATATTATTGGGGGAGGGGTGATTAAGGTATTATTCATTTTATATTATTTGAATTGAACTTTATGTGATTGAGTTTCGAAATACTGAATCCATGATGGTAATTCACGATGTTCCCCATAAGGGACACTCTTTACATGTTAATCATTCGGAGTAACTTTGCTGAGGGGAATTTTGTGTCGTGTTTTATACAACTGACGTAAACGAGTGGATTGGAATCAAATTTTAAAGTGTTAGGGGCTCATTTCATAGAATTAAAACTACTTTTCATATACGAGTCTTCACACTAAACTTGAGTGTAAGTACTACAAAGACGAGCGCATACTGCAGAGCCAGTGTATGTTTAATGAAAGGAAAATATTTGAAAGAACAAACTAAAAACGTAGGAAACGTACCTTTTGGCTTCTTATGGGAAATCGGTTCTTAACAGAACATCACAAGAGTCATGCCAGAGCATTCTTTCCATACAAAAATATGTACTTATCACTCGAAATGTTTTATAATGTTAGTTATCCTTATTTAGATTAAAACACTAAACGTTGATTTAATTTTTTTTTTTCAGTTTGCAAAACCTGTATCGTACGATATCTGGAGTCCAGCAAATTTTGTCCTATATGTGATGTCCAAGTACACAAGACGCGACCTTTGATGAATATTAGGTAACCATCGATTATTGTCCTGTTTTATAATTACAGAATGTGTAGTGAAGTTATAATGAGGCATATATTTCTTGTATGTTCTAACTGTAGACATATCTGAATAGTTAAAATGGTTCACGTATCAGATTATGGCTCGTTACTAAATATATCAAAGATGGAGGAGGTGTATGTTATTTATGGTATAGCTACACTGATACTAATTTTATGTGTTAAGATGTAGGTATTCATAACGTAACTTTTCTTTTAAATGTGAACGTCAGAGTAAAACAAACATAGATTTATTTTAATGAAATTTCGAGGAGTAAAACAAACATAGATTTATTTTAGTGAAATTTCGCAGAGTAAAATAAACATTGATTTATCTTAGTGAAATTTCGACAGGCTTTGTGAGTATCTAGCAATTAAGATGTTTTGTTTTAAATTAGATCGTGAATGATTCAGACTTTCAACGCCTCCTGAATTCTAGTATACAGGTATAATCAGTGGTGGATGAAGAGAATAATGAGCCCAGTGCAGGACCTTATTATGCTCACCCCTCTTCCGCCCTCTCTCTGTCCTCTCTTCCTCCTCTACCCCTTACTTAAATGAAGGTGACAGTTACTTATAAACAACATTTGGCTAAGAACAGTTAGAAGGTTTCCAATTTGCCTATTTGAATATTATTTTGCGTGTCTTTCATTATGCAAACGAAACACAAAGCAAAAAACTTAAGCCTGATCAAAGCATAAAATAATTAGGTAGGTAGAGGGCACTACAAATAAAAAAATAATTAATCCCACAATGATAACTTAAATTTCTAAATTCAGGATTCGGGGCCCTCTGGAAGCATAGCTATAGATATAGTAGCATAAGATAATCTAATTTGTACATTGTCTTGTCTAGAAATAATACTTCAATAGCAAATTTTTGGGTCTTATGCCACTAACTTATGCTTCTCGACACGAAGATAAAATTTAAAAAATAATATTAATTTTTCATTTATATCAGAATAATTTTTTTAAAAGAAATATTCTTCTAACAATATCATGGGTTTCGACATGTGCTTCTATTAGAGTCAATTCATTTTTCTCACATAGTTGAAATCAGTATGTGTTGCACTGTCTATCTTTTATTCTTGGTCTGTCTCATCGATTTGGAAGATATACATCAATCAGACAACCCCGATATAAAATAATAAGTACTGCTTTGTTCGGCTGTCTCTAGGTAGTGTTTGAAAATATTAACATCAATCAAATAATTCTGATAAAAATTACTGCCTTGTTCAGCTATTTATATGGTGATCGAAAATATTAACATCAACCAAACAAATCTGATAAAAGAAAACACCGTGTTATTCAGTTATCACTAAACGGTGCCGGATCTAAAATATACATCAACCAAACAATTCTGATAAAAATTACTGCCTTGTTCAGCTATTTATATGGTGACCGAAAATATACATCAACCAAACAAAACTGATAAAAGAAGACACCGTGTTATTCAGTTATCACTAAACGGTACCGGATCGAAAATATACATCAACCAAACAAAACTGATAAAAGAAAACACCATGTTATTCAGTTATCACTAAACGGTGCCGGATCGAAAATATACATCAACCAAACAAATCTGATAAAATAAAACACCGTGTTATTCAGTTATCACTAAACAGTGCCGGATCGAAAATATATATCAACCAAACAAATCTGATAAAATAAAACACCGTGTTATTCAGTTATCACTAAACAGTGCCGGATCGAAAATATACATCAACCAAACAATTCTGATTTTAAAAAAAGATACTGCTTTGCTAAATAGTGTTTCAAAATATGAATCAAACCAAACAATTCTGATAAAAATCACTGCCGTGCTATATCTAGAGAAAGATACATCAAAAATATAAATCATCCAAACAGCTGTTATCGGATAGTGTGTGATAATGGAAATTCAAACCAATTAAAACAAACTATGAGGTATCGAGATGAATTTATTACAATACATTAAGCTATTAATATAATTAATTACACATTGCTGTAATAGTGAGGTATTGCAGCTAAAATTAACTAAAAACTGTTAATTATTATTGGTATTTGGCTGGGTTTTACATTTATTTATTTGTGAAGTAACTGTTTATAACCAGTTTCATTAATGTTTCTGAATAGACTATAAAATTCAATATTCTAAATGTTTTTAATGTTGTTTTACTGCCACTATGCAGGGCTGACAAGACCCTACAAGATATCGTCTACAAATTGGTTCCTGGGTTGTTTCGAAGTAAGTTCCAGATTTTCGTTCCTGTTATATACCAACTGTATGTTTTAACTTAATGTATTGTACATAAATGTTGTATACCAGCTGTATGTTTTAACTTAATGTCCTGTATTTAAATGTTGTATACCAGCTGCATGTTTTAACTTAATGTCCTGTATTTAAATGTTGTATACCAGCTGTATGTTTTAACTTAATGTATTGTACATAAATGTTGTATACCAGCTGTATGTTTTAACTTAATGTCCTGTATTTAAATGTTGTATACCAGCTGCATGTTTTAACTTAATGTCCTGTATTTAAATGTTATATAACAGTTCTTTTAACTTAACGTACTGTACTTAAATGTTATATAACAGTTCTTTTAACTTAACGTACTGTACTTAAATGTTATATAACAGTTCTTTTAACTTAATGTACTGTACTTAAATGTTATATAACAGTTCTTTTAACTTAACGTACTATACTTCAATGTTATATAACAGTTCTTTTAACTTAACGTACTGTACTTAAATGTTATATAACAGTTCTTTTAACTTTATGTACTGTACTTAAATGTTATATAACAGTTCTTTTAACTTAATGTACTGTACTTAAATGTTATATAACAGTTCTTTTAACTTAACGTACTATTCTTAAATGTTATATATCAGCTGTTTTAACTTAACGTACTATACTTAAATGTTATATAACAGTTATTTTAACTTAACGTACTGTACTTAAATGTTATATATCAGCTGTTTTAACTAAATTGTTAACATTTTCTGTTTAAAAACCGCCTCATCTCTCTTATTTCAGACAGTACGCTTGTGGATATAGTTATGATGTACACACTCAAACACAACATAGATAATAACTGGTTGATAAATTGTAGAACGTTGACTTTTTTTTTATCCCGTACTGTTATTCGCTTCACATACAGCCTTGGAAATTTAATAGTGTTCTGAGCGAGTTCTTCCAGATGGTAGTTGGTAGTTGAATATTCATCTTGCGTCAAGCTGAGATTAGTTGATTTCAACATTAAATTCGCTTTTGTAAAACGCACTAAAGATATGCAAATTTTCAAGGTAATTCAGAATTTTACCACAAATATATAAATGTTTGATGAAAAAAGTAGTGTTCGTCAATATGATCTTAAAGGCTATTGAAGTTTCAAATGTATGGGGCGATTTTTATGATTTTTAGTGAAATACATACACTTCAAACTTTACACAGCGACAAAATACTTCTCTTATTTGACGGTGTTAAATTTCTTTTGGCATGAATTACGAGCTACAGTGTCTGAAATTTTTCATTTTCTTAAATATGGACTACATAAATATGACTTTAAACAACACAGCACAAACTTTTATGGGAAAAAACTATAATTTTAGCTCAACCTCGTAACATTACAGCTTTAAATGTCAGAGAATCATTAGAAATGATAGAATATAAAAGAAGTAATAAATAGAGATGAAGGGTCATCAAGTCAAAGCATTGACATTTGGTGTAATGTAATATAAAAGTTGGCTAAGGAATTATGTAAATACAAAAATCAATGTAATATCACGTGGCAGGAAAAAAATGTATAAATTAGTATATCTTGCAGATAACTCCTGAATACGACGTCGAAACATTGTACATGTAGAGTGTGTTTTAAAGTGGAAGCCGTATTTTTAAAGTGGTAGCTGTTGACGGCTTCAATTAAGTTTTTAAAATTGTGTAAATATGAAACGTTGATTTTAATTATTTATTAAACGGATTGCATAATCTAAACACGTCTTTATATAATGCATGTATCGCAGAATGATTAACGAATATTGGTACTAGCTTTGTAAACATAATCATATTGTGTGTTTAGAAGGAGCTATTAAAGAGATTCTCTCTATGGTACCTGGAACGACCCAGATAAGCATGAACAGACACGTGTATTGAAAATTTCTGTATTTTAACATAACTTGTTTTGGAGCCGTTTTTCGGTCAGCTGTTGCTTCGAAAAGTCACGAACTTTTACCAGCTTCACGTTCAAATGTTGTTTTTGCGTCCCACTATAATATCAAAGTTATATTCTAATTTCAGGTCAGTTTATCTATCTGTGATTAGAGAAATGGTTGTTGGTTTAAAATATTATCAACTTTGATAAGACATTGAACAGTTTGTTTGGAAGCGCAGAGCTTTACAATGGACTATCTGTGTTGTGGCCAACGCAGGGATCGAACCAAAAATTTCAATCATAAGCCTTCAAACTTCCTCCTGATCCATTAAAATATTAATATATTTGAAATTGCAACTTTTCTTGTGGTTAGGGTACTCCCAATGTGGCTAGTAAGTGAGCTATTAAACTGATTTAAAGAAAGACTCAATATAAAGCTTGTTTTCTTTATCTACTTTTGGCGATGTAATATAGACAAAATAACTTCAGAAACGTAAGTGCTGGGAATCTATACCTCTTCAAAATGTTGAGTAATTAGTAAAATAAACTAACACCAAGTGCAGAAATCCAATCGTTGACGTGAAATTATTTTTAATTATTAAATATTACACATCATTAACGTTCCGTTGGATTGAGTTTAAAATATAAATCTATTGAATTGTTCAAACATCAATACCATAACTATAATGCATAAACAAGATGCTTGAAAACACACATTTGCCTTCAAAATGTTTGATAAATGCAGTTTTAAAACGAATTTGTCTTCAAAATATTATCATCATGATTTCCTGAACATGTGATAAATCCACAATAAATTCTCTGACATTGTAAGTGTACGATATATACATTCTCAAGAGATGAATCAATCGTTATTTGTTTTACCTTAATGAACAGACTTATTGTCTGTTTGGTGTGAATGTGTATATTTTTAACGAATAGCATCAGTAGCACTTGTCAAATCTCTGTAACAGACTTATTGTCTGTTTGGTGTGAAAGTCTATGTTTTAACCAATGGCATTAGTGGCACTTGTCAAATCTCTGTATGCCTACGTAAATAACATCCGTTAACTGACGGTTAGTGTACCAATTACTCGTTAAGTAGACCAGTCACGAAGCAAGCCTCTGGGATTGTAGGGGGAGGGGGAGATTGGAGCGACACCTTCAACAGAAAGTTTATCATATTATTTTTAACTTGAAAGGGACTGGTTTGTTGAGAACCGATTATAGCAACCCGGAACGGTTTGTAAAAGTGAGAGCGGCATTATCTCTATATTCGTATTTTGCATTGTCTATGATCGGCAATATTACGGGTTCTGATTTGCTGGTAGGTATCACGCGAGGATTTTTCACTATTTTGAAATAACGATCGTACCTCTGATTAGGACTATTAGGTAAATTATTTGTGGGAACAGATCACGTGAGCCACGAGCTAGGTATGGCCTCATTCTTCGGTACGAGATTGTGCTAGAAGGTGAGTGTGTTTCAGTGTTTTGTGTTAAATCCCTGGTAAGCTGTAAACGGTAGAGACTTGATATCTTTCAGTAAACTGCTCATTTCAGAATCGCACTAATTTGTGTGTTTTACAGAATGTGTACGTTTTTAATGTGGAGCCTTTTTTTTTCAGAACTTATCATTAACTTTAAGTTGAAACGTCGATATTAATTGTCACCTGTTGTTATGGTAATACCCTGTCACGACTGAGTGGTGAATATAACCTAGTCTGTAATTTCTTCCAGATGAAATGAAACGACGAAGAGACTTCTTCGACACTAACCCTGAAGCAGGTATGTGTCAGTATGATTTTTGAATTATTATTTAAAGCTTTCATCATTCGATAACCCTACCATGCTCATATATTGATTGATCATAAGGATATCAAAAATATTGCAGTGTGTATAAATGGATATACACAGTGAAAAATTAGTGGAAGTGGAAATTAACATGTTATTGGTCAAATAAAGTTTTGAAACCATTAAACATGTTTAAAACTTATATAAAAAACTATTAAGTATACAAATACACCCCATCATAATGCAGATGAAGCCCTAATCTAGTTCGCAAGTGTAACTCGGAAAATTAACAATTCAGGTATATATATTTCATATATACATGCACGATCATCTAACGGTAGTGTTCATGTCGAACTGTTCCCCGGCACGTCATGTATACCGTGCGTATCGTTTGAAATACATTGCTGAGCGACTGGGCAATACTTTGGATGAAGACAATCTTAAAATAATAAAATGAACACATGATAGCAGGATATAAAAAAAAACTTTGCGTCATTTCAAGTAGGGCCCGGCATGACCAGGTGGTTAAGGCGCTCGACTCGCAATCTGAGAGTCGCGGGTTCGAATCCCCGTCACACCAAACATGCTCGCCCTTTCAGCCGTGGGGGCGTTATAATGTGACGGTCAATCCCACTATTCGTTGGTAAAAGAGTAGCCCAAGAGTAGGCGGTGGGTGGTGATGACTGGCTGCCTTCCCTCTGGTATTACACTGCTAAATTAGGGACGGCTAGCGCAGATAGCCCTCGTGTATCTTTGCACGAAATTCAAAACAAACAAACAAACAATACACAGAAAAAAAATCTGTTTAAAGAAGAGGGAATCCTCAATAGCCGCGGCACTTGAAATTATTTTAGGCAGGATTAGAGTAAATTAATATATGATACCTTTTTCTTCCTTTTTATTAGTGGGGCGCGCGTATACCCGATTCGATTTTATTACTCATGAGGAGCTCTAGTAGCCTAACCTCAGATTGAAATTCTTTTAGGCACGATTAGAGTAAATTAACCCATGAGACCTTGGGAGTGGTCAAAT